GGATCACTTTGGTGCCAAGTCGGAGGAAAATAGATCACTTTAGTGACTCCGGCCAAAAAGCTGACCTTGCATTTATATTAAAAAAAAATGGTGTAATTTGTACACGTGAAAATTATGTGGCTTTTTTCAAATTTTTTAATTTTTAGAAAAAAAAAAGTGCAGGAGCCCTCGCTGCGCGAACCCACCACCGCCGAGAGGGCCGACGTGGTGGGCGCTGGCGCAGGCGAGACCCAGCGCGACCGGTGAAGGAGATCGCCTCGCTTGGCGGGCGAGACCTGGTCGCGAGCGAGACCTGCCGTCGTGGCGGCGAGACCTCGGTTGCGACCGGCACGGCGAGGTCGGCCTCGCCTTGTTAGGTGAGGCGAGACCTCCGGCGACGCGAGGTCGGCTCGCTAGGCAAGGCGAGACCTCGCCGTCGCCGGGTCGCGACGGCGAGGTCTCGCCTCCCGATCCGCCTCGCCGACCACTGCGCCCACCACCGCCGGCCCTTCTCGGCGGTGGTGGGTTGGCGGCAGCAGCGGCGAGGGCTCCTTCGCCGCTGCTGCAGGCTTTTTTTTTTAATATTTATTTATTTATTTATTTTAATTTTTTTTTTTAAAAAGTACACGTCAGCGGACTAAACGGCGTCGTTTTTTTGTTTTTAATGCTTACTGGACCTCTCCGGTGAGCCATGTCAGCGCCACATCGGATTTCCGGCGAGCCACGTTAGCATTGGCACTAAAATGATCATTTTTCAAAAAGTTAGCACCAAAGTGATCCGAAAAAAAGTTATGGCACCAAAGTGATCGCCGTACACAAGTTATGGTACTTCTGGTGTACTTTTGCCCTAGTACTTGTGGCCTCAGAGTGTTGTTCACGATACCCCCTTATTCGATTGCAATCTCATTTGAATTCTTTATAATTTTTATTTCTTTTCTTTTCTTTTTCTTTTTTTTTTCCTCGGACCTAGGGCCGCACCGCCCTCGCCAAATTTGGCTAAGCGAGGGCTATGGCGCCCTCACCCAATCTAGGCGAGCGAGGCCGTTGGGCTTCGTCCAGACCCGATGAGGACCGTGACACTCTTTTTAGTGCCGGCGACCCTTGCCGGCCCTAAGTCCATGGAAGAAAAGAAAAAGCAAAGAAAATAAAAGAAAGAAGAAAAAAAAGTATCAAAAAATTATTAAAAAATGTCCACTTCAACGTTGGCCGGCGTCCACGTTAGCAATTTCCAGCCATACTGGCAAGATGGACTTAATTGGCAAAATATGAAAATATTTAGCACTCAATTGACATAATGAAAATATTTAGGACCGAATTGGCACAATCGCAATAGGTTTAAGACTTTTTTAGTAATTTTTCCTCGCGTCCATGATAACTCTCATTCCAATCAAAAAGTAAAGAAAAAAAGGAAGAAGATAGAAGACTCATTTGATACTAGAACTTTCAAATGCGTGAAATTGCACTTATTTCCAACTTTAATTCTACAATTAAAAAAAAGTTCAAGTGCATCGATATACCGAGAGGAAAGAAAAGCGGGAAAATAGAAAGAGAAGTGAAGATACCAATGTCACAAAATAATTACATGGGTACGTCTATTTGATTCTTCTTTTCCAATAAATCTTATATTCACATTTTTAAAACATCTAAAATCGGATCACAAGTATTTTACTGAGAAAAAAGAAATATATTCTCGTGACTATTAGAAACCCTACATCCTATCCTATCATGTATTCGTATATATTTATAAAAACAAATGCGGAAAAAAACCAAAGAAATGTTTCAACGACGAGTCTTGTAGCATATGAACTAGATACAAAACCGCGGATGGTGGGGGTCGCGAGATGTAATTTGAAAAGAGCCTGTTGGCAGTTAATTTTGATTTAGACTGCACTTCTTAATATACAAACATGGGCTGCACGTACTTTCGAAGCCACCTTGAATATGAATTGGAACCAATGAATAAATAAGTCTAATCGTTTGGCTAAAACCCGAAAGATACGATGAAGAAAAGAGGACGACTTCTAACACAATTTATATAGCAATTGGTCGGTCCAAAAGAAGGCCCTGCTCATTTAAAATAAAAAAAAATAGATCATACACATAAAACGTGCATGTTCTATAAAATGCTGCGCTTCCGATGATAGCGATAGATTATATATCCATCGACAGGCCATCAATAATCTTTTCTCGCGTCTGATTATTGCAGTCGCTTGAACAGTAAAATTTGGTGGGATCCACCTTAAAATTTACACGATCCGATCCGAAGACTCGCATGCACCGAACTTACATAAGTCAGGCACTTAAGAGTAACTCTTTCGCTCCTTATATTCGAATCAACAAAAAACTTTGATTGCAAAATAACGCAAAAGCCGAGGCAAAAACACACTGCATGAATTAACTGACAAGAATACGATGTTGATCGATTAATCTTTTAATATGCTAATGCGGTGTACCAAGAGAGAAACTCCTGAGTGAGTGTGCGTAGAGTTTTCTCTCTCTTGTGTGTATTAAGTTACCTCTTTTTTCTCGACATAAAAGTTAGGAAAATTATTTTAAAAAAAACCTTAAACCTATTATACGGATATCAATTCAATCCTAAGCCTTTCAATTTGGCCAATTTAGTCCTAAACTTTTTGACGATTTACCAATGTAGTTCTTCCAGTCAATTTTTTTTGGAAATTGTTACATGGCACGGCTGGCGCTAATGTAAACAATTTTTTTCCTTTTTTAATGAATTTTTTGAATTTTTTCTTTTTTTTTTTTTCCTTCTTTCTCCATCAATCGTCGGGCCTCAACAATAGCTAGCGACTAGCCATAGGCGAGGATCGACCTTGCCTAGCCTCTAGCAAGGGTCGACCTTGTCGGAAACGATGAGGTCTAGCCTTACAATCGCTGGATCCAGCAAGGGTTGAGCGTCATCGGGGCTGGGTGACCCTCGCCCGAGGCTGGTGAGGTCAATCTTGCCAAAGGCCAGCGAGGTTGACCTTCGCCTATGGCTGGTTGCCGGCCATCGCCAAGGCCCAGCAACCAGCCAAGGAAGAAGGAAAAAACAGGAAAAAAGAGAAATGAAAAATAAATAAAAAAGTGAAAAATTCAAAAAAATTATAACAAAATTAAGGAAAAAAAAAAGCATAACAAAAAATTGTTCCAGTCAGCACCCGCCATATCACGTAAAACGGCCGGAGTCCACGTTAGCGATTTCCGGCCAAAATTAGTCGAAAGGACTATATAGGCAAATTGTAAAAAAGTTTATAACTAAATTGGCCAAATTAAAAGATTTATTACTAGATTGACATCTGCACAATAGTTTTAGGACTATTTTGATAATTATCCCGGTTAAAGTCATTGTCCAAACGTCAACTGCAATCTATTGCTAGAAGAGATGTGTGAAGCCTTTAAAATGCAGGTGAATACTAAGGGAATTCATGCCACGATAATTAATTAATTGAGGATGCAAGTACGTATATGTGCAGCAGGTTTTTGACCGTATCTGCCCAGCCCATTGAAACTTCGAGGTAGGATGGTCAGCAGCTGGAATGAAGCTTCCTTACTTTTTAAGAGAAAAGAAAGGCAAGCAAGATGCTATGAACTTAGTTCAATTCCGGGTTCACCTGCCCCTTTTATATACTGAGCAACAGACTTTTGCAAGATCTTCCTTGTTTCTTCACCACATATCCTCTATCTCTCTAAGTATATGTTCATTCATCCACTGAATTAATACAAAGCTCGTTCCCGACTTAATATTAGTACATATACATCGTAAACTCGATTGCCGGGATGCTTCCTGGTGTGGAATGTGCCCGGAGGAGAAGGTTCTATCAGAGCCAAGGACAGCCCGACTTGCCGTTCATCACTACTACCGCAGCTACAACTGCTACAAGACATTCCTCGTTCTGTCTCTACACAACCCACCATGCTGCGACTTCCTCTTCTCTAGTACGTAGTTCCGTCCTCTCTCTCTCCCTCTCTGTTGCGTGGTGTCGTAATTAGAGGGTCACCAGATTTCAGGGAAAAGAGGTTTTAGATGCATAGATATGCGAATCTATCACGAAATGTTTTGTTGAGTCTCCTCTTCAACATATTGTGTTTCTGATATTCAAAGTTAGGTATTTTAGGTTTATCTGTTGATCTGAAGTATTAATAAGTTTTCTCATTTTCTTCTGTTGTGAAAAATCAGCAAAGTAGGAACATAATCAACCAAGCATATGGAGATGACGAGGAACTGGGAGGAGTGGCAAGGGAAGCCAAGCATAGACTGGATGAGAGGTTGGGAACTCAGAGGAAACCAGAAACCATGAGAAGGTCAACGGACGAACTTGCATCATGACAACTTGTTCCTTTTCTTTTGTTTATTTATATTGGATTTAGCTTCAAGGTATGAATTGCAGCAAAAATCTTCAGACTCTATGGTTGTGGAGGATCTGTTAGTTCTCTAAATTTGAATTGGAGCAAAAAACCATTTACTTATTATCGTTGTTCGATCTTTTTAGGCACGGCGATGGAGAGAGCTCGAGAGCTAGGGAATTGCAACTGCAGACAATGGTTCATGGAGAGCAGGGTGTCGACAGAGGTGGCGATTCTACCATTTTGAAGAGGTTCGGTTGGGGCAAGATGATGAGGTGGAGAGCCACGGACCAAGACGAGTGCGCCATTTGCCTGGAGAGGTTCGAGGTCGGCGACACCCTGGTGCACCTACCCTGTGCACACCGATTCCACTCAAGGTGCTTGGTTCCGTGGCTCGAGGCTCGTGCTCATTGCCCCTGTTGTCGAATGGGCATCTCGACATAGTAATACAGGGGAAACTTCCCTGCAACTTCCTTCTTTTGAATTGATGTGTTACCAGGAGAAAATAATGTTAGCAGGCAACAACATGGTCGAATCATTTCCGCCGGTTTAAACATATATGTATGTACTACTTGTATGTTGTGGTAATTCACCCTTCATAAATCATTAACGGGCTATAGAAACGATCGATTAAGGATGCATGTGGAGAGTGCTGAAAAGCAAGTCATACTCGTAACTTGAGAAATTTGAGTCGAGAAATCATAATACATATGCACAAATTATATCCATAGGTGTACATGTTATAGTCGTTATTCGATTGAGATATGGAAAACAAAGACCCTTCGTGTGGGTACAACACGAGCTCCTAAAGAGTACCGATGAAATCTGTATCTGGCAATAAATTTAAGCAACGTACCGAACTAATCACCAGAGGACAAAAGCTATAACTGCCCAGCAGGAGGATGATGGCTAGCTTGGAGCTTGTCCTTGCCAAGCACGTCTCAGAAATGGAAACCCTTAAAAAAACAGCCGTCCAGCCGCTAATATCGAAATCTACTTTTATCATATATTCACACACAGCGCACCAATCTTCAGGATTCAACTGCAATCGGCAATTTGTCTGGCATAGCTGTGCTTGAGGGATCATGTACAACTCCTATCTGCGATTATAATTCTTGGAAGAGCTCTTCAAAGCAATAGAACACAACTCCTTTGCAATTTCAGCGAAGCTTGGTCTTTCTGATGGCTCGGATGACCAGCACCGCTCCATCAGCGATTTCCATTCTGGATCACAAGATGCTGGTACTTGCGGCCGTAGTGTATTGTTCACGACACCCACTGATTTGATTGCAATCTCATTAGTCAGCAGCCAATATTCACTTAATTGAGATAGAAGTATATAACGAAGTAACCTCACCTATCATGTGGTTATCATCCAAATCTGCAAACGGTTTTTCTCCAGTCAACAGCTCCCACATGACGATGCCAAATGAGTACACATCAACCTAAGCAAATGGTCAAGTTATCATTAACACATTGCAGATGTGAAACTCTGGGCCATGTCACACTTCGTTCCAGATTTTTCCTTGAACCATGTTGTTGATTAGTGGGCCATAAGTTATTGACATCGAAGATATGCAGACTTAACTAGACATATACGTGGGTAATATCCATGTATGCAACCCATCAATTAGAAGATTTGTTGGAGAAAATTCCAACCAGAGATGGGGTCCTAAAAAGTACCCTACTGGCAACGGTACACAAACACAAACACAAGCACGTAAAGTTGGGCTATATGTAGAGAAGTCGAAATGAAAGGTGAGATCCGAACCTTATCGGACACAGGATTACCACTGTTATTCAATAGTTCTGGTGCCATCCAAGGAATTGTTCCCCGCATACCACCTGCTATTAGAGTCCGCTGTTTTACCTTGGACAGTCCCAGATCACCAATCTGACAGTAAAGTGACACATTTCAGACATCAAATTAAAGGATCTTGCACAAAATCCGGGGACCTACAAAGTCGTCAATTGCTGTAAAGAGGTTCATGGACGTTGGCAAGGAAGCTGGTTTTAAAGTATCATGCACAACTACTTTGAATATGATCTGCTCCCGTATCTTCAGTTTGTAAAAGAGAGAGAATTATTAGAATAGTGATTGGACTAACAACTTAAGGCGAGAACTTTGCTTTGGATGCTAGCTGAAATCAGCTTGAATTTGGAACACAATTTAACTAGATGAAACACCAAAAGTCAAATTCCTTTGGCACAAGAGCTTCCGACAAAATAACTCTGAACACATAAAACAAAGTAGAAATTTGATGGTCGCATAAATAGGGTTAATGATCATTGCACCACCTCATGCAAGACAAACACTATCAATGTAGCAACAAACCATGTTGCAGAACTCACTGCATTGACAATTAGAAAAAGTACAGCTGCACGGACAAGCAGAATGACAAGCAATCATTGTGCTTGAGGCTTGAGCAGCAGCATAGCAGATATCAATGCCGACATGCATGTGTAGCAATTGCGGAGCACAAAATTGCAGTTAAGCTTCGTATGCGTAAATATATGGACAGAGAAAGACATTCAAGCATGTTCAATGGTGTCTCGTTTTCTTTTCTTTTTGTTTGTTAGACATTTGTGGAAGCTCTTATATTTTAGCAGGTAAAGTACTTCAAAACAATCGATTCAGAATAACAAGAAGTACTTCAATGTGACCAAGCACCCCAGCTTTTAATATAGGTTTTCTCCTGAATGACTAAACAGCTCCAGTATGCAAATCTATTTCCTCTTCCCAGAGAATAACAAGTGTCTGAGCATGCACAACATAACTCATATCTCCGAAAAAGAGATACATGTAATGGCAATCAACCACCAGTCCACTAACCTTACAAGTTGGTTGACGGGGATCACCAAGATTGACAAGTAGGTTATCACTTTTCAAATCAAAATGCACTATCTTCTTGTCGTGCAAATATTCCATACCAAATGCCACTTCCCTTGCGATCAGCAGACGCTTACGCATGTCAAAGTTCCTGAAAAAGAACTTAGTTAAGTGGTGAAAGGTGTGCGTCAAACTATTTATAAATGTACACATATATACATATGTACACACACACACATACATATATATATATATATATATATAGAGAGAGAGAGAGAGAGAGAGAGAGAGAGAGAGAAAGTCATACCGTTCACCTTTCTGCAAAGCCTTTCGTAAAGAACCATCAACCATATACTCAGTCACTGTTAAAACAGAATCTCCTGGACCATCAGGCCAATCGTGCACAATGCCATAGAAGGCCACCACATTTGGATGATGCAAATCAGCGAGCAATTTTGCCTCATTCAAGAAATCATGCATCTGCCTCGATACAGCAACAATGCCAAGTATTCAAAAATAGTACTACGAAAAATCAGAAACAACAGAACGCAAGAAGATCCACACCATTCGCTCTTGCTCCAAGGGCTCCCCAAGAAAGCACCTGTTGTTGATCCGTTTAATGGCAACATCTTTACCCCTCCATTTTCCGTGATGGACAGTCCCATAGGTGCCAGAACCTAGTTCTTGCTTAACTTCAAGGTCACAACTTTTAATTATCTGCAGGATGAAAATTCAAGCAAATCAATATCCGGGGGCAAACACAACCACCTATTTTGAAGTAAAGGAATTTTCTTACTTGCAAGCCACCGATTGCATCTGACACAGGAAAGCGAAAATGTACCCTCCCTGCCAACATAGCACTGACATCCTGCGGGATGAAAAGATGCAATAAGCAATTTTAAAATTCATGCACTTCAAGGAAACTACCTGATGGACACTAAAATATGTATGAACACAAAGGATCTTAAGCACCTCAGAGTCAGCTTTGTGGTGCTCATCTTTCTCCTGGTCGAATTCATGAGTAGGCTTATTTCCTTCATAAACTGTCAAGTCAGGATAAGAAGGCAGAACTGTCTGAAAAGCACAAGCAACTACACCCTCAAGAACATTCTGCAGTTCTTGCTCAATGATATGCTCTGCTGAACCTACAGAAGATCAAACAATAAAAATAAAAACCCCAAACACACCCAAAATTAGTCATAGAAGTCCTAAAAGAAGCACCCCTGGAAGACGGAAAACAATCTGAAGATTTGCAGTTTGTCAATTTATTAAATGGCTGATGGAGTCCATCCTCCAATTGCATTTTCTTATTCAATTCCCCAACCTTCCTGGATTGGCTAACCAGGAAGAAGACCTTAGTTTCTAAAGGATTCTTTCCTTAGTGCAATTTTGGAAGGTTTTGGAGGAACATGAGCATCACGATTCAAATTCCAGAGATTATTAACTTTAGACTCGGCACCAGAAGAGCCAGAGCATTCGTTGGAGAATCATGAATTTTATACTTGGATATACGAGCAGGTTTACCTCTGACAGGAGAAGAATCACTAATAACTAGCTTACTCGCCAAGGCCTCCTGTTTAAGCTGACATTGAGCTGGCATAAAATGCTGCTGGGTGCCAATCTCCAGGAAAGGTTCAGGAACAAGACCCTGCAAAACACCAAATGGGGACTGTCCATTGCCAGCAAAGCCCACCATGTGCTTCATAGAATCAGGATCATTCATTCTCGGAACAGTTTTGATATTGTCTTCAAGAGGTAGACAATGGTGAATTGAGCTTGAAACAGGGAGATGGCTAACAGTAGTGTCTCTCTTGTCCAGTACGACAATATTGGAAAATGCATCAGGCAATGCTTTTTGACAAAAAGCACGTGTCTCAAACCTCTGAATATTTTCAGCCTTGCAACAAAATGCTGATCCATCGCAATAAACTGCTTGTCCTGGTTGAACCTGGGAACCATTAGCATCTCCAACCATTGCAGAAGGTGCTTGGACTCGATATGCATCGTGATGTTTCTCACTAGGAAGTGGAACCAACCTCTTCCCAGATGTGGCCTCTTCCCCCGACTGATTTTGTTGAGGATGAGTAAATGGCGGAACTACAGTAGGCCTTAAACCCGCTTGAGAAGATGCCATATCCGTTGTTCTATCTACAGCAGATATAAGCTGCTGAGAGTTACCACCACCAGCATTCTCGTGAAACTGCTGCTGGGCATAAGCAGGACCAGCAGTTCCCAATGGATGAGGACTTGGACGATCCATCATATGAGGAGGAGGCAGGTGATCTATGTTGACATTCTCCTTGTGAGGATCCATGTAACTTCGGATGTAAGGTGAAGCTGATGGAATGCCCCCTCCTGCTTGCTGCAAATTGTTAGCCAATGGTCTCTTTGGTGCAGTTCTTTCTTGTTCAATCTCCAGTTGCAAAGATGATGCATCATTAGAAGCAGCTAAATTCCCTCCAGGAGACCGTGTGCTGGTCAATGGTGGCCCATCGATATCTGCTTGCACAGGAACTGTTCTATCAAAAGCTTCATTGCTGCTAATATCAGAATTTTGTGAGGATGTTGTGCTTGCTGTACTCTCTTTCCTTGTAGTACCACCACCCATACCATCCATTGTACCATTCATGGCTTCGAGATTTCTCTGCCCACTACTGTGCAAGTCGCCAATCCTAATGGCACTTGACGAATCCAGCTTGGGATCAGGGAAAAGAAAAACTTTTAGCTTAGCTGAACCATCTGACAATCCGCTGTCTAATCTCTCACACTCATTCATCATATGATCAAGATCATCATGACTCGTAACAGAAATCAAAGCGTCCAGATCGTGATCAGGGAGCTGGTACTTCACAACAACTTGCTGCCCACAAGTATCCACCATCTTCTGCACAAACTCACTAAAGCTCACATCTCCCCTAATGCGGACTATCTTCATTTCGCCCCTGGCATATTTCAACACACCACAATCGGGACTACGCAAGAGTTCACCCCCAAACTTACATAAGAGCTTAACTGTCTTTCCCAATACCAAATCCTCCCCAACTTTATCAATCAGCCGGCCAGCCCCACTTCCACTACCTTGGTCGCTCAAATGGGGCTTGTGGCCGACACCTGAATCACTGCTGAACTGCTCTTCATCATTTCTGCGGTCTATAGTGACAAAATTCTGGCCAGAACCATTCCGATTTGCGTTTTGAGCTCCGGCCCGACCCACTGTATTGCCGACGATCCTATGCCCTACATACGGGCCATAACCAAAGCCAGGTGCCACCTCATTACCACTCTTATCAATACCATTTGCACCAACGTTACTTACAATATGAGGATAACCAACGGCTGCAGATGGATTTGCACGTGCATATCCATGGGGCGCCGGCACACTTGAGTGCCACTCGGCACCACCATGAGCAGCATTGGCATATACGGTACCTCCTCCGAACCCGGGGTTGGGAACCTGTTGAGGGTTTAAGACCGGTGCCAACTGAGGGTTAACAGCCGTGTGAACAGGGCTCGAGATAAACCCGTCCTGCGTTTGGCCGGTAGCCGAGGCCTGCGTCACGGTAGGAGGTCGTGGATCCTTTGAGGCTAAGTTCTGATGAAATGCCATTTCTCCAAAGAGTACTAGAACAGCGCAATTCGAACTCGGAGGATGCCAAACAGTGTGAAAAATTCAAGGGTTTTCTTTAACAGATTGCGATCACCTCAGTTCTGCTCCATATGAGCTGATTTAAAGTTCAAGGAGGGATCTCTACACTAGCGCAACAAAAAGGAGGAAAAGGCAAAAGAACTAGTTGACAAATGGATGAGTACCAGAGAACTTGGAGGCGTGGAAGAAGAGGACTTCAAAGAAGACGAAGGCTGTGCTCTGTCAGCTCAGCAGACACATGAAATTCGCCAATAGGGAGAGAGAGTGAGAGAGAGGAGCAAAGTTTGCGGAGACCAGCCTACCACCTCTCGCTGGAAATCTCTTATGTAGCCTGACAAACTATAAGTCTTCGTCTTCTTTATTTAATGCTAAAAAACTTCGAACTTTCTTCTTGTTATTCTTCTGCTTCTTCTTCTTCCATGACTCAACTTTCCCATGTTCTTATCTGAAAAATTCTATAGCGTTCCAGAAACTTCTGGCTAATACTTTGAAACGGAAACATCATTGGCAAGGTTATTCCACAAGACTTAAACAGTGAAAACGCAGAAAAACAAACTTCTATTCTTTCATGGGGATCTGGTAATCTGTCGTCTATTTATAGTGGTAGTCAAGAAGGATTCCTGGGAGGTGGCTGATGGATTCGGGTTCTGCAATGTAGGTAGAAGTTTACCAACTACTGCGGTCGAGGTCATCAACCGGTCCATGATCGATTATCAACGAAACCCGTTCTGCTACATCAAATTAAATGTCATATGCTCGAAAGGATCTTAGACCCTCGAAGGGAGTACATGCTTCAAGGGCCCGCTTAAAAGCGCGTGTTTCAATGCGTTCTTCTGGACGTGATTAATTCTGCGCATCACGTTAGTTACCCCATGAAGTGATTTTTCACTGTGTTTCTAGGAACGTGTGTGTTATAACAAGGTGAATTTGAAGCTTTTTGGCCAAGATGAGGTCGCTCCACTTTGCCTTTTTTTGCTTGGAGAGAGGGCTTGAGGGTCAAGCTGTGCTGTTACTGTTGCAGAGTGTGAACCAAAACCCTATAGCCGACAGGTACATAGGGGAATTTTCCTCGTGACTACCTACCTCTCTTTGGATCCTTGTACTTAAAGAAATGTTACGGTCAAGGACACTTCTGGAACCTTTGGACAAAACAGAAGATAAAAAAAGGACACCCCAACGATTATTTTCTAACAAAATTTTCTCTGAACATGACACCTGAGATTTGAGATAGTTAGAATCAGACTCTTCTTATTGTAAGAAAAAATTTTGGTGCATTGATAGCAAGACTGCACCAAATTCAATTGTTTAGATATATTTAGCTACAAGCCTCTGGAACATGTATGTTAATAATTTTCACTTTTTTAACATGTCTTTTGCGGGATGGTTATATTTCGTAACTATAATCAAATCACTTCAAAACATTTACAAATACGTGGACAATCATTTTGATCATAGCCTTCAATTGGTAGGAAAGAACCTAGCTACGATGTGTTTGGTATTAAGACTCGCCATCATGTGCAAAAAGGGTTTTATACCTGATAGTATTATGCACGAAATAAATAACAAAAACCAGTCAAATCACATATAAAGAGGGCCGTGGAGATCTGGACTTTTAACTCGTGCTTTTACATGAGAGAGAACGGTTGATCTTATCGAAAAGTTACCGGTGGCGGAAAGCATATTTCAAGAGTGCACACATGAATTTAGTCTCCTATTTCATTTTTTAAAAGGTTTAAGACTTAATTAGCACCAAAAAAAGATTTAGGACTAAATTGGTACCAATGCAAAAGTTTAGGACTGAATTGACACAAAAAAAAAGTTTAGGACTAAATTGGCACTAATGCAAAAGGTTTAGGACTTTTTAGCACTTTTCCCGTGAAACAAGTGATGCGAGGCAAGGATAAGTCAATTGATCAAGAACTTTAGAAAAAAATTGATCAAGAACAATACGCCAGGATCATAGAACTTACGTATGCTATGAATTACCCAATAACTTTAGAACTTGTAAGTGCATCTCATTGTAAGGAAATTGATAAATTAATGGGACATCTAAAACATTACTATGCATTATGCATTATGTTATATTGGTTCTTCTCCTTCATTAATGATTAATACCCAAAAAACCTCAAACTGATACACTTACGATAAATTTACCCCAAACTAATTTTTTACAAACTGGTATACCTGTAACAATTTTACCCTTTAATAGTTTCCGTTAAATTTTACAGTCAAATTTCTCAATTGGATAACACGTGGCAGTTGATAGGTATATAAGTTTAAGATTTTACCCTCCGTTTGTCACAAGTGTACCATTTTGTGGTTTTTCGTGATCAAAAAATTAATTTATGGTAAATCTGTCACATGTGTATCAGTTTGGGGTTTTTAATGGTCAAAAAATTAATTCGAGTTAAATTTGTCACATGTGTATCAGTTTGGAATTTTTCGTGGTATTAACCCTTTTTTTTTATACGAGTTATGTTAACAAGCGACCTAAAAATACTAATTAATTAAATAAGAGGGGAAATCGATATTCAAAGCATGTGTCACTACAACGGAAGTTACAATTTGTTTTGTTATTTGATTGTTTAAACAAAATGTTGGTAGCTCAATCGTTTGACCTTAACTTTGTGGAAATCTAATCCTTAACGCACACCGGCTTGTCCGCATTAGGACCGGTCGTAGAGTAGCGGCGAGAAATGTACGGCACCGCTGGTCGCTACGCGGCGTCGTTTCGGACATATCCCCCCCAGAAAAATCTCAACGGCTAGTTCCAAGTGACCGTTTCAGAGCGTTCTTGGTTTTCAAATCTGAGGAAAACCGATTTCACAAACACTTCCTAAAACATCAGCACAAAACCAAGAAACGCCTTCCTCTCTTTCATAATCCCCCACAACCCACCACGATCGCAGCTCCGGTTCACTCTCGAACCTCGCCAAAACTCGATCTTGATCCCGGAAAGCTCGCCAAGTTTCGATCTTTCCTTCGCACCCCCGCCTTCGCGAACATGCCTCAGTCGTACACCCCCGCGTACTACTCCACGCTCCATGACTCCATCACCTCCCTCTGCAAGACCATACTGCCCTTCTCCTTCAAGAAGCGGCGCCTGCCGTCCGCCGAGCACAAGCTCCAGCAGATGCAGTCCGATAACCTGAAGTGGCAGCAGGACTCCTTCCACCAGATGCTCAACCTGATGGGCCTCCACAAGGAAGGGATTTTGGGCGAAAGCGAGGTCTCGGCTTTTCGGTCGCATTTGCTCGAGACCCTTATCGCCGCGCCGGCGTGTCACGAGCATCCGACCATACTGAGGGATAAATTGCTGTTCTTGCAGGTAGGCTCATTTTTCCATTTACTCGCCTTTGAACTGCTTTTTCTCGTGAGAAATTGCTGGTATTGTAATGTTCTGGGGATTGAAGTTATATACGCGTGATATGTCGAATGATCTGGAGTTTTGAACCTGATTGGTGCATTTACGGCTCTACCTCCCGAGTCCTGACCAGGTTTCATGACTATGACAAAACTGAAAAATGGTTAGGAACCATATTGTCTCACAAGTATATTGAAGTACTTAGATGTATAAAAATATTTATTTTATCCGTTAGGTCAGCGGCACGCAGGACAAGTATTTTGAAGCTCAATCTTGGGTATGCTTGATACTTGAGTCTCATGATCACTTGATTCAAGCTCCCACAAGAACTATTTTGATCTTTAGTCTGCTAATCGGTCTTGAAGAGCTTAATCAAGGAGCTTGCGAGCAGTTTAACTTGCTTACATTCCTAGTTAGAACACTAGTAATGATAAACCAACTAGAGGCTTTTTTAAGAAGTCTATGGTGATATCATATAAGTTTGGCAAAAGCTCATAATTGAGTCTTAATTGGGTTCTGGTCTACAATGTTGATAGTCCAGTTGGAAGCAATAAAGTTATATACATATATGTGTGTGTACGTGTGCGGGCGTGTGACTCCAGAAATAGGACATCGAGTGGATATGCAATATTTTGAGTTCAACTTAACTGTTTGTTGGTACTGAAAGTGAGAGAATGGGTGAGGATTATGGGAGGATCATTTACTTGAGATCTCCTATTAGATTGTAGTAGAACTTTTCCCATTTCTCACAATTGCAGTATGTGACATCGAACAAGCCACGTAACGTTTATGCGCTTTCCTGTTCTCTCATCAGAGTAAGGACTGTCACCAATTTAAGGGTCGTGTTATATTGTTGAAATGCCTGATTGTTGCTGTCCTTATTAGGAACTCTTGTATGCCAAATGCATCACGGTGGATGAGTACCACTCTTCGAAAAGGCCACTATTGCAGAGACTTGCAGTTCAAGGAGCTGAGATTGATGCCAGAGATGTCATACTTGCTGGGCCAAAAGACACAAAAGAGAATTCTGATGAAGAATGGTCTGTCATTGACTTGAAGGATGAGAATTCCACGCTCAATAAAGAGAACTTGCAGTCAAAGAGCAAACTGAAGCAAAACTCAACGATGAAGCATATTAAAGGAGCAGTTTCCGCTCTTAGTTTTGGATCATCTTACAAACCGAGCAAAAGCAAAGCTGAAATAAGCATATTTGACACATTCTCTCAGAATCTGAGCTCATCAAATTTCGACATGACTTCCTCTAACAATGAAAAGCCATTCTGGGATGGCCGTTTAAAGGAGAAAGAAACCGAAACACAGTCAATACTCATGGCAGAAAGCTTGCCCCAAGAATCTTTGAAGGAAAGTGGTGCAAGTAGCAAACAAAAGAGAAAACCATTTAGGACTATCTTTCAGAAAGAGCAGAGGGAAGGACATGGAGGAGACAATAATAATGGTCCTGAAAGTGAGGAGAGATCGTCGAAATCAGCGAAGAAGCAGTGGGGTTTTGAAGGATTGAAGAAATGGAAGAAACACGATTCAGATGATGAGACTGCTCCGTTGTCACTTAATGAAAGGTCATACAGTGAAGCTTATGCATGCATTGGTGAGGGACCTGATACTAAGCAGATTAAGAGAAAGTTGCTTTCGGATGGTTCCCCATCAGATTTTTTCATTGATAAGGTATGTGAATTTACTTGTTGAACATTGTTCTGAGGACCAAGTGCCTTCATTTGCAACTTTGAGTTAACACCATTAACCAACTCAACAATGCAATTCTTTTGCAGGTTTTGGGTGATAAAATAAAGAAGGAGCTGTCTCGAATTCAAACAGAACTTGGCACCACAAACCCCAAGATGAAATTCTCGTAAGCCTTCTTCTTTAGAGGAATCATAAGTAATGCTGGCGTCCGTTCTCCTCAGCTTGAGTGATTCAAAGTAACGATTTTGTTGCATGTTCTGTTTCTGTTCACCAGAGATGAACAGATTGAAGCCATTTCAACTAAGCTTCCTGTGGACAAGGCTGATCTGAAAAAGTTCTTCCCTAGGTAAGAAACCGATTCCTCTTTTGTTAGTTCTCTTTTCATCCACCACAGAGTGATCTTTTGATTCATCTGCTTTTACTCTCAACTATATTAAATATACGGGAAAACTAAACGAAGTTATAATAAGTTCTTGTGTTCCTTTATGTCATGCTAATAATAAGTTCATCTACTTTTTCCTTATAAAGATCGTGGTGTGATCAATATGGGGATATGGTGCTCGACGTGGTGAAAAAAGAGTTCAAGGATCACGTCGGGGAGATGGAGAAGTTGAGAAATGCGGCAAGAGAGAGACACAACCACTCTGCCCGATGGACGACATTTGATGACGACGAGAATTGTCACCCAAATCTTTTTGCTGCAAATAAGGATTACTCGTTGCCTCAGAAGCAACCATTTGATTCTAGCTGCTTTGAAGAAAACCCTTTCTTTCAGAATTACGCTGAAGGATATGGACGGAAGTACTAAGCAAAGAAGTGGATTATGGAAAGAATCGACTATGTTTGGAATAGGAGTCATAAATCTTGGGTTGGAAAAATGCAAGGAGGCCTTGTCTATATTCTTCAACCTATTCTTATGATACATGGGGAGTTACCATTGCTCCCAGTGGTAGTATGTGTTGTATTAGCTGTAGTAAACTAAGAGAAGAAATCTGTTCTTCAAGAAAATTACATTTCTTATAATTTGAGCCCTCCTCTCTCTCTCTCTCTCTCTCTCTCTCTCTGGTGCTAAACATGTTAAACAGAATTTAAAAGCGAGGAACGAGAAATTTCGGGATGTGTCATCGTCAGGTCATCCTGATAGCCTAGATGCAGAATCTAATGTCTCCAGGTGCAGGTGGATCCAATACGATAATTTGTCTTGGGAATTTACATTAAACCAGATCACAATCTTCACCCTATTTGGGTGGTGTTACAACAAGTAGATAAAAGATATGCCTAAACAAGCTTGTGGAGATAAGCACAAAGTAGGAAACTGCTCCAACGCTTAAGGTCATTGAATCGAGATTCTAGACTGCACGGATGAATTCATCTTTGAGTTTGACATACATACATCTCTTCTTCTAGACAACTCCATGAGATTTAGGTAGCAAAACTACCAGCACACGCTCTCTCTGACTAGTAGCTGTGTGGATAATCTGGTTTGTAACAATGACATTTGTCAAAACAACACTGGGGAGAACTCTATCCTGTGATCTATATAAAGTTGCGTGACCATACACTTCGCCACACTGCTCAGAAGGAAGCTTGGGGAAGAAGAATGCATAACCCTCCACCACCACCCCACGATCCTCACCACCCCCCACCCCACGAGCCGCCTCCCGGTCTTCCACATCCCGAGCCACCTCCTCCTCATGGCCACCCTCCCCCTCCTGGCCCACAAGCACCACCTCCAGGGCCTCCTGAGCCTCCCCCTCTTCACCCTCACCCTCACCCTCACCCTCACCCTCACCCTCACCCATGACCCGATCAACTCAATCACATCCGAAATATGTGTGTTTGCGTACGTTTGTGTTTAAATTTGGATTGTTGTATGTATAGTTTTGTCTGCTATGCTTTATAAGTGGCATGCTGGCATTGTGCTGTTTCATCTGACATCATGTCACACAAGATGGCAAGAGTCGTTCCAAAACTCGCCTGATGTTCGGGATCTTCGACGGCTCTGCTTTTATCACTTCATATGTACGTATACATGTTGCAGTGCAACTACAATTAAATAAGTGTTGCCATCGATGCTTCTACTTGTCCCCATTTTGCTATTTTTGGGTATTACAAGAAGGGCTGAAGCATAATGAAGTTCTGGTTCGAAGCAATTGGCAAGCTTTGAACCTTGTTTAATGCAAAAGCAATAAGAAAAGCTGACGACGTTCTAAGTAGTAACACCACTAATTGAACAAAGAACAAGAGCTATTTAACAAGAGTATATGATCCGCGCACCCCCACCCACCCACCCCCCCACCCTACCAAGAGTTAAGAAGCTAGTAGATGCAAGAAACACGGGGAAAACAGAAAAGGAACGTGCAGCTTAAGGCCAGTGGAATGACCCACAAATGTGTGGAGGGCAATAATCATGAAAGGGGAAGTCTCAACAAGGAAAGTCGATATGTACAAATTCCAAGCTACATGAACATCTGACAATTGTCTTGATATCATGATCCTTATCATCATCATCCCCTGCCGAAGAATACAACAAAGTTCCTCTCAGGAATCATCTCGAGCTTGTTCCAGTGCCAATTAGAAAGAAAAGTTACGATCTCATGACCGAAAAAATGAAACCTCGCTAACTTCGAGCTTCTCCATCTCAATGCCAAAAGAAAGAAGCAGAAGAGAAAAAAGGGTGAAAAAAAAAAGATGGCTTCTATTACCGGAATGAACTATACATACGCAGGGAACTCTCACCAATCAACCATGTAACCTGACTACATTTATTTCCCACTCGTCTAATTTATTTCTCATCTTGAAAACTGCATGACCTTCAGATAATTTGTATAATATCATCCTTCCAAAAAGCATTTGACGTTCTGAAGTCCTTCGACGAAGATACTTCTCCTTACTCTACCCTTTGGTGCCACCAGCTGTGGAGGCCGCTCCAAGTGAAAACTCACTATCACGACCGTCAAATTATCGGTTGCTCCTCTCTTTATTGCTTCTTCGACTACCTCTTTGCAGCATAATTTCACATCATTGTGCTCTTGGAGCCGCCTCCTGGCAAAATCTATGGCATTCTGGCTAGTAAAGGAATCCCACATCCCATCGCTTCCGATTATCAAAAACTCATCTTCTTTATTCAACGTCACCAACTTAAGCTCTGGTTCGGCACTTAATGGCCCGCCAACTCCGCTCATTTCCTTCATACCTTCGAGATGCCAATCTCCCAATGCACGTGTGACAGCTAACAGACCATTCAGATAGCCATCGTCAACAAAACCACCCAAGGACTCAATCCTCACCTTCTCTCTCGTACAGCAGGGCCTGTGGTCTTTAGACATTTCCAAAGCAACTCCTCGTCGTGAGAGTACAGCCCGGCAATCACCAGCGTTTGCCACCAATAAAGACCTGTTGAAAGCATTCCTGAGGAGTTTACAAACACATTTCGACCAATCATAATGAATATGTCAACCACAATAGTACCTGCTATAGTTCTCATGTAAGATTCAAGTTTCACATAAAAGGTGTAAAAAAAGCCTGATGCTTCCATCTCTTGATTTCAATTTAAGTCATTTATCCTTTTTCTGTTCCTATCAGCGCATAATCCTACATTAATTTGATCATTCAACCAGCATGCTTAATCAGCAGACTGAAGAGCACAAGTTACCTGCCAAATATCATCGCAGTAAGTGCAGTCGTCCCAGAGGACAAGGCAGTCTCGAGTGTGCATGACTTTGCAAATGCAGCATCAACCTCTTTGAATGATCTCACGACGACTTTCTCAAGCTCTAGAGGGAAATCAGAATCCTCAACTATAACTCTAGGCAAATGGTCGCGGACAAACTGTGCAGCCGCCTTTCCCATATGCCCATCAAATACCTGCCATATGCCAGATTAACCGGTCAGAGCCAGAAGTTGATAGATTAATATTAGTATAATTATTTTCACTATCTAAGTTCATTCTGGCTAAGTAATTGTGATTGATGTATACTCTATTAGTGCAAGATCCGACAGACCCTGGTTAAATCAAATAATAGAAGGTCTGAATGCAGCATATCTATCGGAGGCTTGAATCACGTGCAGCTCTAGACAAAATGAGCAGACTGATGATGAGATTCAAAATCTCCTAGAGAGAGGGTTAATGTATCGCAGAATTCCAAAAGCTGAAAGGCTGGACAAAGCAGATTCCACGGATTAGGTTCGACCCAGTGCAACTTTATGAGTATCTAATGTTTATATAACGCACCTTACACTTATAGCATCAAATGACCCAAAAAATCCTAAACATACAGGGCAGAGATGCCTAAAATATTCAACGGCTACTTCTGATATAATTTGAGCATCAATATTTAAGCTCGGTAAAATTTCAAAGCCATGGTGATAAGTGCATTGCCCAGGCATGATGCATTAAGAGGTTGATAATATAGATGATTCACCAACATTTAGACAATCCAAGAATAGAACTAAATCACATGTATATCACTGATTGAGCGCGGTGAAATAATTGAGTATCAGTCTGTAGCTAACAAGCAGGTTAAAGGACTTACGCCATAGAGAGAAACAACTTCCTGATTAAGCTTATCGTAGCCAAAAGTCGTAGCCAGATTGCCAATGCAAACATGGGTATCCTCCATATGGGGCCGACCACCGATATCAGACCACTCTCCTGACCTAAGCTTGGGTATGAAGTTGCCTAACATGTTCAGTCTTTTCTCTAATGCCACGTTTTCCTCACAAATGCTTTCCAGCTGCAAAAGGAAGAGGAACTATCTGATTAATATGAGAATTCACAGGGGATGACTAAATCAGGAAAAATTCAATAACAATCAGTCTTTCATCGAAAGAAGAAAACGTAGCAAGTCACTTGACCACTGGTATAGGAGTCATTTCTTGTTCTTTGGACAGAGATACAATTAAAAACGAACAAAACCTCAATCTAATCACATGAACTGGTTTTCAGCACAAGAAGTTTAAGGATGATGACAATCATTCAACGGGGAGGCCACATTATGAAAAGCAAAAATAAAAGGTTCCCGTCTACCATACGGAGAAAAACAAAACTTATGCCCCTCAGTAACAGAAGCAGCCTCAAAGCAACATCTATGTAACTTGTGAAATCAAGTTAGAAATTAATGCATCTTCCCTGATCTAATATGCAAGGCAATGACCTAACCATGTCTCTAGCATGGACCTTTTTTTTTTCTAACTTTTACGGGTAAATCATGTATTAATCAACTTGTCAATGGCTCTCACACTCTTTGGACATAGCCAGGTTTCCTGCATTAAAGCCGGTAACGAATTTCATTTTGAAAAGACTATTTCTATGACATGAAGTACGGCCTACACAGTTCCTGCACATGATATATTCTTCTTCCTTTGTTTTTCCGCTCTCCCGGTGGAAATTTCGAGTGCTCGTGCATTCAGCAAAGACCAAAAGTAGGGAACTTAACATGTGGATATAATTTCGCCCTACATTCAAAGACAGCCTCTTAAATTGAGAAAAGGAAGAGCAGAGACAATAAAAGGTCTTCCAAACAACAAAAAAATCTTTAATTTTCATGAATTAGCGTATGAAACCTAAAAGCAAGTACAAACAACAACCAAGCTAGCAAAATAGTGACCAACAGAAAGAAAGAGAAATTAGTTCACACCAAACCTAGAGAGAACATGACCATCTACTTCAATATCAGAGAAGACAAATATACCAACAAGTTAAGCAAAAACCAGTCAAAGTCACAACCTCAATACTCATCACCCACGAAGAAAACCATCAAAATACACACTCATCATCCTAAAGAAGTCACGGAAACACATTCAGAGCTCAAAAACTATGAAATCACATCCACAAACCCCAGCTCTCAAATCAAGTTCCAAAATTGAATTAAAAACAGAGAATTCAACCACAAGAAATCAAACAATGACCAGAAAAGGGAAACAAGAATTAATAAAAAATCAGCAGAGCGAGCAAATTTTTCTTTTTTAAAGAAAGAAGTCAAATTTTCTTACTGGGAATGAACTGCGAAGGCCAGCCTGGTCGGCGGGGCACACAACAGGAGGCTGCCTGTCGAGATTCTCCATCTGGGTATGCAACATTTCGCAATGCGAGGGCCAGGACTTGCTGTTGCTGGAATCAAGATCCTCCATCTCCTGCTCACCATCCTGAACACACATGGCTGACTTCTCTCCTCCTCAGCTGTTTAAGCCAGCAACTTGGGTTGGTGCTGCTGCTGTTGGTGGTGGTGCTCTTGCTGGGGGAGGTATCTGGAGGAACAGAACCGACAATTTAGAAAGGGTGGAAGGAAAATAGTGGGCTTGGAGAGAAGATTCTGAGGTATATCAGTGGAGGCTGCTCTGTTTTTCAGTAGACAGAGAGAGGAGAGAGAGAGAGAAAGAGAGGGAGAGAGAGAGAGATGACGAGGGCCGTTAAATTCCAGATTTTTCTAAGAAAGCGTGGCTGAAAAGATCGGTTGGTTGGCTGGGGTTTTATGCTCTTGTCCATGTTCCTCCCTCTGCTCTCTTCTTCTTCCTTTTTGGTTTAGTCAAAGGTTAGGAAAAAAGATATTTGTATAATTCTTTGGTTTTTTGGGTCGAAGATGCTGTATAATCCGAGCAATCGACAAAATCAACCGCAATATCATTTTTGTAAAAGATATTTATGAATAATATTCTTCGAATAAATGATGGTAATTCTCACATGTTTTAGGTACATTTTAATTGTTCGGCACCACAAAAAAATCTAAATTACTCTCACTATGCACCTTAGTACCCAAATTTTTTTTTGTCGTGTCACTAAAGATAAAAAACTATTCCTACTATGACATCAATACCCTAATTTTTTCCGTCTTGCTAAAATTCCCAAACTTGTATCAGTGTGATACTTATACATATTTGGGAATATCGGCGTCATACTGAACAATCTTTATGATTTTCTTGTCATATCAGTATAAGTTTGGGATGCCGGTGGCATAAAAAGATTTGGGGTATTGATAGAGTTTTTTTGTGGTTTTTTCTCCATTTTTAATTGGAGCTACTAAAATGAGCATAGACAATATACAGTCATGGGAGGAAATGTTTAGATGGAAAAGGAAAAATACAATTGGTCAAGAGGAAAGATACAAAGTTGGGGTGGGGTCCTGTTGGATTTTGATGGGTTGAGTCGGTCATTGAATGAATGGCATTCGGCCATTGTTGTCCTGTTTTGCGCAATAGCTGAGGTGGCCCCCCTTCTTTGCCACCTTTTCATCTTTTAGATTTTTCTCTGTTGAGGTTTAGATTTTTTTCCTCTCCCCCCTTTGAAAGATGCTTTTTCCTTCTTTTTTGTAACGTTTTTGGATACTTTTAGGTTTTAACATTAAACTCGTGGAATTTGTTAGAGGATGGATGATTCAGATAAATGGTGGGAATTTAGAGATTTTTCTTTGGAAGTGGGACTAGAATTTAAAGAGATTGCCAAGGGCTCCACACATGATAAAAATCCCTTTTAGAGATCTCGATGACAACCAATTTACGTGCACATAAACATTTCACGGATCCTAATTTCTTTTTAAATTGAACGTAATATTTATATGTGTGTAGTTTTTTTTTTTTTTCGGTTTCACTCGTCTATTCTATATACAAGTGTGTATTACTCACAAAATTGAACTTTGAATCTAGTACTCTCCGGCTCCAGTTGTATGCTTGTTGGTTGTGCACAAAAATTAAAAGCCCTATGATTGCAACAAGAATATATATATGATTTGAGTTATTTTAGGAAATGAACTTAAATGGTAATAGGATGGTGAAAACTAACTTGAATACAAAATCCATGAAAAAAGATTCACAGTAAGAAATCACTATTATAACGATCCTTTAACTTGTCATTTTGTTTGTTGTTTAGTGTTATACGATATTTATTCACCTCTTAGGCTCCGTTTGTTTTGCAAAAAATGCTCATTTTCGGGAGCTTAAATTGTTTGGGAAAATGAGTCAAAGGAAAATGTTTTCTTACCAAAGCTTAAATTTAAGAAAATGATTTCCTTTTTAAAAAATCGAAAATTATTTTCCAAAATATGATTAGGTGTTGACACTTGGACCAAAAGTTCCGCACTTGGGCATAAGAACCCCAATGCTCATTCTCAGGCCCTTGACAGCAGGGCCAAGTCCCCAACGCCTAGGCCCCAGTCCATTGAGGCCAGGCTCAAGACCCCCGCACCCCGTCCCAGGTCCATATAGGTCGTGCTTGAGAAGCCGAGCCTATGTCCTCAACGCCCGTGCCCAGGTCCATCGAGGCTAGGCCCCAAAACCTAGGCACCCGAGACCAAGTCCCCAAAACTCGGACCCAAGTCTAATGAGGCTAGGCCATAGAGGCCAAGCCTTGGACCCCGGTGCCCGCGTTTAGGTCCCTAGTGCCTGGACTCAGGTCCATTCAGGCCGTGCTTGGGACCCCGGCGACCTTGCTAGATCTAGGGTGCCGAGGAGCCGGGCACAAACACCGAGTTGTCGTGCTTGGTTTTAGTGGACCCAAGATTAGTGCTCGTGCTCAAAAGTCGGGGATCCGAGCTTGAAACCTTGATGCCCGTGCTAGGTTCCTTAGCTACCCATGTGCCAGTCACTAGTGGTTGAATAATGTATATTTATTTACGAAAATTAAATGAGATTTTCCTTGTCAAATGACAGAAAAAATTTTCCAATTCATTTTCCTTAGCCAAAGACCGAAAAATATTGTAATTTTCCTGGAAAATTAGTTCTCCGAAAATATTTTCCAGAAATGTCACATTTTTCATGAAACAAAATGTAGCCTTAGTGTATGTATGGACTTTATTGAAATTTTTAGACAAAAAAGTTTGAGGCTGAACGACATTTGGGGTTTATTTACAACAATTTTGGTTACATTATATAAAACACTCTGCTCCTTTAATAATTCACAAAACCGAAAGTAAGGACATTCCAGTTTTTATATCAACCTAACTCTCAAAAAAATGCACCTGTCTGTCAAAATCGAATTGCCACCACACGTGACCTTATAGGGGGCGATATTGAATGGCAATCTCTTTTGTGTCAATTTTATGAAACCCCCCATATTTTGCGACCGTCACAGTTTTATAGTTTCGAAAAAATAAATTTGCGTGGTGAACTGAGAAGATGCCACAAGATCAATACGTGGCCTTATGGCCTCTCTAGTCAATCATAACTCATAAGATAACGCATGATTGTTAGGTAGTTTTGAAAAATCAAGCCAATTACTTGCATCTATGCTCGAGGGGGGGTTGGTGGTGGTGGGTTGGACACACGTTTGAATTCAACCAGCCACAAAAAAAATACCACATTTTTGTAGCATTGTAAATAAAAAAAAATTAGCACCTATAATGTGGTCCTCCTATAAGTTTAATCCTGTCCTTTTATTGGGAATTTCAGATTAAAAATTAGTACTCTAAATGGATATGTTATAATATTAGGACATTTTAATATTAAATTACGCTTACATTTAATTGGTTAAGTTTTTACAGTAATTAACTCGGATGCTACGAAATTTTATATAGGAGCAGAGTCGGGTCTTGTCCCATCTCATTTTACTTGTGCGGTTTCTCCGTTTACTAAATTTCACGTATCGTTTTTAATTCAGCTTGCAAGTGATAGGAAGTGTTAAGAATTCCAGAATTTGAAACTTTTAAGTTTGGATTTTTGAATATAGCCAAGAATAATATGAAATATAGCCCAAAGTCTATTTATATTTTGTTTACATAATTTACTTTAGAAGATGTACCATATGATTTGCAAGAGGGTTTTGCCAAATCAACGAAAGTGACATTAAAACATAATTTTTGTTATAGTTTCCCTTTTCTATTCTTCCCTAGAAGAGTAAGGTGACGATCCTTACAAAATGAAATAAAAGCTTCTACACAGTTCCTTGTATATTTAAGAAGGCTTCACAAGTCCTCCCCACATGAATCACACGATCATGGATTATTCCTAAAGCTAGACGACACTTTTTAAGTGATGACAAATTGGGATTTCCTTCCTTTTTTTTATGGGAAATAATTCCTTAAAAAAATGATTTGAAAGAGAGATTGTAGGCAGTTCATAGGTTGGTGTGAATTGTAAGTTAAGTTCTGATGGGATAATAGTGATGGATTGACATGGACGTTAGATTTCTGCTGTGCGCTCCACGTTACATTGCGTTGCGTTGCTTTTCTCCTTTCCACAGAAAAGGCAAAAATATCACTAATCATTTTCGAATTTTGTGTTACGTCATTTTCCATTTTTCGCAATATATAATCTCACTGCTTTTATTTTGTTTTTTTTGTTTTTCTAATGAAAAGAGAACTATGTTAACAACATGTCTTGCCAAATGGGGAAGAAGAGATTACGCCCTTTTTATTGTATTTATTAGAAAGATACGAAGGTTCACCTAATATGTATGGAATTTCTTAAGAGCATGGGAAAATATGACTTTCGTCTTATAAGTACAATAAGAAGTCCTCTGGAAATTCGCATTTTTTAATTTTATTTACTAACAGATGGAAAATTATAGTCTCGACCATATTAGTTACGAACCCATTTGAACTTTTGAACATTTTGTAGAAAATAAAATTGCGGAAAATGCACAAAAAATTGAAAAAGAGCAAGGCGAGATTAATTCGTAGAATGAGCTAAAATTTGAATTCCATCAAAGCGTTAATCGTTATTGCCATCATCAACTTTTCGATTTTAAATTCTGTGTCAACTGATTACGATTTCTCAACCAAACTACGGTTGGCTCCCTAGATTTCAAAAAATGTGTTGATGTTGTCTCGGGGCACTTTCCAAAGTCAAAGACTCCTTTTGTTGGCAATTGCAAACTTTCCTTTCTCAATTGGACACTGACGTGGCCCAATCCTGTCCAATCAAGTTGGTGAAGCTACTGCAACTTTGGTCCCTGGTCTTTCGATTTCTCTGCTGGTGCGCTCCTCGCCGATATAATTATTCGCACTGCTTATATCATTACATGGACCGGTTGATGATATTTGCAAAGTGGGTCAAAGACAAAAAAAAAGCATAGCGCAATTTCATGACATTTTTAGTGCATTTCCCCCTTAGGACAAAGAAGTCTGCAGCCCATCTCTTGCCGCATAGCAGAAGCGAAGCTTCTGCTAGTGACGCACACCTTAAATTAGTGAAATGATTCCTTTGTCTTTTTCATGCGTTGATGGCCAATCTTTACTCAAGAGGTTGAGCAGGAAATTGCAGAGAGACCTAGAAGTCATCCACGGTACCACCTCTTGGGATTTTAGGTGTCAATATCATGGGAAACTTCTTGGTTATATCCTCATCCAAGTTCCCTTTCTTTATTCCATTATAATTTTCAGGGGATGCATAGATATGGACCCGATTCAAAGAAACGC